CTCAACTTTAATCTCCTTACTTCCTGTTCTCAAAATGGAATATAAATCAGAAAGTGTGAAGCAAAGGACAAGGATGCTGGCGGAAGAGGATTAGTGATGGGGGGGGAAGGACTTTAAGGAATGTAATCATGCTATTTGATGCAAAACTTCAGACCAAAATCAACCAATTCTTTTGAGTCTGCTGAATCAAAAACAACAAAACAAATGTTGTAAATGATCAGAGGATTAGCCTTCTCCCCTCTATCTTTTTCCCACTAATATTACAACAGTAACTGGAATTATTGCAACTCAAAGGCTATTGAATTTGTACTGCAGGTAGGCTAAATAAATTGTGATAGGGCCTCCACTGATCTGTTTGAACTACTATTGTCATCAATAATTATTAATATCCAGTAGTTTATTCCTTTATGATACTGTAGACTCAAGATATTTCTTGATATATTATGCTACTCTACTTAAAGCTACCCAGTCTTAGATTTAGAGTCATGTTGATGCTTCTTTATTGCGTGACAGCCATGTTAATTACATAAAACCAAAGTAGGTTATCTTAGTTGATTTCTCAAAGCAAAGGATTACAAGTTAAAAACTCACTATGTCTTATAGTAATTAGCAACCAACTGCAACCTGACCTAGAAAAATGGATAATATATATAATTAATAATAAATATAATGAATAATAGATCATTCACAGTGAAATGCCCAGGTTTGCTGATGAACCTTAAATTATTTAGGATGAATAAGAAAGGGACAGAGAAGAACCTCAAAATATTTATCCAGTGTGGATGAATATTAGAATACAAACATGCTGCATTGTAAGTTAGCATAAAGTGATGCTTATGAGGCAAAATAAGTGTGACTTTGAATATATAGTAAACTGATAAATAACTAAGCAGGAAGGACACCTTGCTGATAGATATTACAATGAAAATGTCTACTCTGTATGCAGATTCTGAACAAACAAACTTTATGTGGGGATTTAATGGAAAGGGAACAAAAATATAACTGCCAGTATATTCCCTTACAGTATATAAATTAGTGCATACAGTAACAATACTATTTAATGGCCGTGAAAAAAATGCTGTAGAAATGGAATAAATGTGGAGGGGGTGCTAAAGCTTTTTCCTCTAAGAAAAAAATAATATTTGTGATTTCAGCACATAAAAAGGAATCTCGTGTTATTAGTCATTTAGTGATTATGAATGATGAATAAGTACCGTACACATTCAAAAAGAAAAGAATAAGTGTGGCTATTAATCGGGATGTCCTTAAAGGAGTTAATACCTCCTGGTCATAATGGCTACATGCAATGTTCATTAAAGGACATAAAATACCTTTGAATTTCATTTCCTGGATGCTATTGCGCTCTTTGACAACTTCCCTATGAGGCATCTTCCTCATAATGGGGATAGAACGCTTCCTTTTTTCATTACTTATTTCTGTTACTGGATTTATACCCTGCCTCTATTTAGTGCAACCCACAGTGACATATATAATGTTCTCACTTTCTTGTTCCAACAACTCTGTCAGGTGGGTTGGCCTGAAAGACAGTGACTGGCCCAAAGTCACCCAGCTGGATTCCATGCCTTAGAGCAGGAGTCCCCAACCCCCGGTGTGTGGACCAGTACCGGGCCGCGGCATGCCAGCAACTAGGCCACACAAAAGCAAAGCCCCATCTGTGCGATGCAGGCAGCACACAAAACCACGCACCCTCCGGTCCATGGAAAAACCTCTCTCCATGGAACTGGTCCATGATGCCCAAAAGGTTGGGGGCTCTGCCTTAGAGAATGCCCAGTTTTCAGTTTCTAGTCCAACATCTTAACCACTATACCAAAGTGGCTATGGATTTAGATTAGATTTTATAAAGCATATCTCTTGTTATATTCTAACAACCTATTATCTATTAGTTATTTTTTTATTATCTTTTATTATCAGAAAGAAAAAAAAATACATGAGATCACTGGAAAATATGCATAGCGATAGACAGATGAAGTAAATTATGAAAATTCTAACAGCATGTAATGTAGACGAGGGATTTTGAAGATATATTGCAGCGCTGATTAATACTAAGATTCAATCATTGAAGATCAAAATGCCAAAATGTCTTGAAGATAAAGAAAGAAGAGTAGCATGTTGAAAGTTTCTGCTGTCACATGAAAAGATTTTATAGATCTGCTTAAGAGAGCAGATAGAGACTGGCCTTAGACTTTCATTTCATAAAATCTGTGTGTGACAATGCCTGTTCATGGAAAAATAGTTAGAGGTGAACATGTCATCCAAAATGCTTAGGAAAATTTGATTGTACAGTATATGTATATATGTTACCTTAGACCAGACTATCATCTAATGAAATTTGCTTGGAGAACCTCTGTATTTTATATTTATGAACATGCATGCAGCAAATATCCAACAAATATGAGAAAATGAATATAGTATTATTTCCTCCACATCTGATTAAGAGTTGGCCAGAAAGGACACCAGAAGTGATAATGTTTGGAAACCTCATATTGTAAACTGGGTAAAATTGGTATGTTAAAGGTATTGCTCAGTCAGGTTGTGGGTGGAAAAGTGTCCTTGAGATATTTATCTACTTAGCACATCCACCAGAATAAACCTTAATGTGATGTCAATATTTTTATGAATTATGAAAAGTGCATCTTAAGAATAAGTATTCTGTTGATCCCTTCCCCAATAGTGCAAATTTTATAAGCAGGAATGGTGCATTTTTACATTTTCATCTCCCATCTCTGGATATTGCATGGATTTTAAAGATTTAAGTCTCAATTTCTTTATTATTATGTGACACCAAGGCACTGATTCTACCATAGATTGTTACCTAATGCTGCAGTGAGAAAATAACATTACCTGGATGCTTTTAAACCTTTGGCTCCATAATGCTTATCTAACTCTATAATGTCAGTCTTCAGAAGGAATTTTTAAATAATACAATAATAGGAAGCAGGAGTCAAAGTAATAAATGCACTATAATTCCTTCTAGCATGCTTTTATAACAAAATTATCTGCAAGAATGAACAAATATCAAGTATTTTATTCCTGGCTGAATGTATTGAGAAGCATATTTTAGTGGCATCTGATTTCTACTGAACAATAAAGATTATTTTGAGTCTCAATAAGGTGAACAGAAATCTCTGATAAATGATAAGTGATAAGAAAAAGAAAAGTTTTAATAGCTTTTGTGTTGGGAAGTTTGTTCATGCTTCACACCAACTTAAAGCTGTTTTTCCATTCAAGTATAATCAACTGAAAATTGAGAAATTTAAGGCCGTTGTTCCCTTCTAATTACATCTACTTGCTTTACTAAATCATGGGTGATTATCCAATCAAATCTGAAATGAGAAAATGATGGGAATTGAATTTCCATTCATTGTTCTAAGAGCTTATAAAAATTAGAAGAGCTGTCAAGAAAAAAATAAAATAAATTAGTGTAGATGGTGCCTTGTTTTCTAGGATACTTAAATAAGCAACTTTGTTCCTGGGAACTGCTCTTGTTTCCAGATATAGAATGTATTCTGCTAAAATAAGAGTCCTACCTAAAGCAAAAATTAAATAGACTCTACTCCTCTGCACATTTATCTGGACATTAACTCCATTGACGATTACTTCTGAATGCAGTCATAATTTTGCTGAAGGTTGAAGTGTCTTTGTGTGCATATGAGCATTACTGAGGGTTGAAACCAGCATTTGGGAAGAAAAGAGAGAAGGAAGTGAGCTCAAAGAAGAGTAGGCTGAGTAATAGACCAAGAGGGGACAAGAATAAATTCTTATCTCTCTACCTATACCCTATTGTCCCTTTGTAGTTTGTAGATCATGAGGAGCTGAAGATTCAGTCACTGGGTTAGGGTGTCCAACCAATCTTATCATTAGAGTTAGGCTGTCCCTCAAATGCTAAGAAACCAATATTTTTTTCTTTTCACAGTATAATAAGTATATTATTTTCTGCTTTATGTTCAGGTCATTACTTTAAAGGATTCTCCATCAGGCTTCAATAAAATATCACAGTACTTTTTTTTCCTCTACTCCTTTCTCTTCTCTCCCTCACCGAAATATTTCTAATGCCTCTGGAAGATAGAATCACCTTCATGGTATATAAAATTGATAAATTGCCAGTAAGCTTCAGTTATAAACAAAACCCTGTTGAAGTAAATATGTAGGGTAAATAATATAACCTTGAACTTTTTTATAAAAGCTACCCTTTTTGAATAATATCTCATAGTAATTAAAATTAACTGCAGAATATAGATTAAGAACATGAATAAAAAGAATATGTAGCTTTGACCTCAGAAATACATATGTATGAAAGCGGTAATAGCTGGTGAAAATGGAGTTCATGGTTACAGTATGAGAAACATCTCATTCTGAGATGAAGGATGGAGACAAATGAGAAATGTTGTTAAAAAAAACACAACCCTTTGTGTATCTTTTTACTTTTTTAAAATAGCTACTTAGTATAATCTTAGACAAAATCCCAAGTATAAAGAATTATTTTGAAGTTTAACAAGTATTAATAATGCTGTTTTGCTTTGCTTATTCTCCAAAATTATAGCAATGTCTAGTGAAGATATACCCTAGATATAACATATAGCTTTGTAGAAGAAAATACTGAAGAATTATATTTAAGGTTAGCATAAACTGAACTGACAGCTGGCAACTAGCCACTGTTATTTGGTCACAATACACAATACAAACCCTGAATTCTCAAAATTAGAATAGTTTTAAGAGTAGACGTGATTATATCGCCCCCTTTTTTTCTTGATCTTTTAGTATGTATGATAAATAATCAGTTTCCAGATTTGGACTCGGTATTGTTGGTTGTAAAAGGGGAATCCTTAGTATCTATAAGTCTTAAGGCATGACACTATGAAAGTTCTGGCCTCACTTCCCCTTGGGTGCAGCTCTGGAAATAAATCAATTTTAAAAAGATATTAGCAGGAAGTCTTGTGATCCAGATAAACTTCTGCCCTGACCTTCTGTTTTGCTTTCAGTTGCGTGCCACTACAGAACTGGATCAAGACATTCTCAATGACTGTCTGACTATCCAGGCTATTCAGGTCCCTTCATCTCCCCATGATGTTTCTGCCACCACTGTCCAACAATCACCGGGACATGTCCATGACCTTTACTCAGGTATCGTATTCTTCGATTTTATTTTATTTATTAATATAAATAATGCTCAAGAAAAATAGGTTTTGGTTTCAGTGATGTAAATCACATCTAGGTTTCCAAAATGACATCAGATATGGTGTAATTGTGTTTCTTTGTTGTTGCTGAGTTTTAAAAATAATACATGGAAATACGGTAATAGACAAAATAATTCAAAGAAATGTAACCACATTACTTGAAAAATCCCTTCTCAGCTCTTCTTCCAGAAAAAAAAGTGTAAATTGTGGGCATTAAAGGATGTGTCAAATATCTATTGCTGCAAGCCTAATGTAAATTTATCCTTCCAGGTGTAATATGAAAAAAAAGGGAAGAAAGTTGCTCTTTTAGCCCGGCTAATCATTTCCTCAAAATGCTTGACTATACTCTAGCTTGATGGACCTTCTAAATCTTTACAAAATTTCACTGGGTATATGCTTGATAAACAGCAATATGTGTGGTAGATTAGGTTTGTAGCAAAATACAGAATCTTTATAAAATATCTCATACTTTTTTTAAAAAAACCTAATAATATTATTTAATGGATTTGTTTCAAATTTTATGTGATTTGTACACTGTCACCCTGTTTTGTTTTTGAGATTTTTTAAAAAATCTGTTATTTTAAAACAATTTTATCCTGGAATATAAAACATTGAGAATATTGACAAAATATTCTCAATAATTACTGCTCCAGGATAAAATCATTATATTTTATTCACAAGCTTTTGAGGATGCTTCCAAGTAAAGCATTTATTGCTTAATTACACCATGTAATTAATGAAATAGTCAGGGAAGCCAGGAAGCCATTTTTAACTCTTCCTCTCTGCCCATATTTTCTTCCAGTTTTTTTTTCCTAAATAAACCTATTATGAGGGGAAATTTGCACTTGCTACATAATGCTTCTTGATTGGTAGCACTAGGAGTTTATTTGATTGGACCCTTGAACAATCAATTTAATTCATAACTTAAATACAAGCTATTATGTTTGCTGTTTAGTTGAATGGAATCCCTAAGACATGTATTCATTGCTACACATTATTACACGGCATGGTTATTTCATGGTATACAAAAAAGAAATACTGTACTTTAATATTGCTTCTGTCTGATTAATCGGCTATAGGTTTTGTTAGGTAGATATTTCAGTAACTCCTAATATAGAAATAAAGACCCACAATATGGATCAAGGAAAGAAGAAAAGAAGGAAATAGCTGTTATGGGAAGCATTTAATTACTTGGGAAGAAAACAGAACAGAAATGAAATGAAAAGATTTTCCAAGGATATTGGTTTGATATCACTGAATTACAAGTAGTGCCATAACACGAAAATATTAAGATTATTAAAAGAATTAGAAACAGGCGGCACAATTATTTTTCATGCAAATCTTTCAAAAATAGAAAAATCTAAGAATATCATGCTTTTCTTTCTTAATGAAAGGTGTCACTCTATCTTTCCATGCCATTCTTTAGGTGTATTGTGTTATATATGAGTTTGCATTAATTATATGATAAAATTAAGGAGGAGAAATAACACATCTTTTAAATCAAATAATTGTGTGTTGGGTGTAAAAGTGATTTTGCGCTTGAGGATCTAGCCCAGGGGTAGGCAACCTTGGCTCTTTTATGACTCGTGGACTTCAACTTCCAGAATTCCTGAGCCAGCATGGCTGGCTCAGGAATTCTGGAAGTTGAAATTCACGAGTCATAAAAGAGCCAAGGTTGCCTACCCCTGATCTAGCCACATGGTTTGGGGGATTTTGATCTTATCTTTTTTGAACACCTTTTTTGTTCTCTTCTTGGCACAATACAGGTAGTCTTTGACTTACGACCACAAGTGAGCCCAAAATTTCCATTGCTGAACACCACAGTTGTTAAGTGAATTTTTGCCCCATTTTATGATCTTTCTCGCCACAATTGGTTTTCTTTTCTTTTCTAACATTTTATTAAGTTGTGAGGTAAAATACAAACTGCAAAGCGAATGGTAGGATGCAATGGGGAGGAAAAAGGGAGAAGAAAGTGAGGGAAAAGGAGGAAAAAGAAAAAAAAAGAGATTGACTTCCGACTTCCCCTGTTGCAGTAGAATAAAGCATTAACGTCGAACCTCATCTTTTTACTTTTTCATAATAGTAAAAACTAGCCATTTCTGTAACAACAAATCAGTGAATCAAAGTTTCATTTTTTTCCACCTCAAACACAAATTCCAGGAGCAGTCTCCATGTAGAAACAAAGGTACTTATATTCCTTTCTTTAATCAAAACAGTCAGTTTAGTCAGCTCCATCAGCTTCTATAGCCATTCATCCATAGTGGGAACTGAAATGTCCTTCCATTTTTGTGCATACAGTAGTCTTGCTACTGTCAACATATACAGGATCAAAGTTCCAATTTTTTTTTTCAAGTCTTTTTCCATTAAACCCAAAAGAAAAGTTTCTGGTTTCATGTTTATTATTACTTTAAGGGTTTTTCTGCATCAGTATGAATCCTTCTCCAATATTTTTTTATTTTTTGCCACAATTGTTAAGTGAATAACAACAGTTGTTAAGTTAAGAATTTGGCTTTCCCATTGCAAAAGATAATTACATGATCCCAGGATACTACAACCATCACAAATACTTGCCATTGTCCAGTGACCAAATTTTGATCACATGATCATGGGGGATGCTGCAATGGCACAAGTATGATAAAACAGTCATAAGTCACTTTTTAGTGCCATTGTAACACTGAAAAGTCACTAACCAAGTGGATGTAAGTTGAAAACTATATATGTAGCAGATGTAATATTAAAAATATATGCATAGGATATGTTGCATCTTATATCTATGGAACTTGATTGTTGTATAGCAGTGCATAGCCATCTGCAGCTAGCTCCAATGATGCTAAAACAGCTGCCATAATGATGCACACAAATTATGTAAGAGGGGTATTTGCGTCACAACAGCACAATTCACATGTGGACATCTCCTCACTCCTGGAGCTGTCCCTGTAAAGTCAGAAAATTGTACCTGCACAAATTGCTTCTTTTGTATGTAGAAAACATACAAAGGATCTTTATTCCTTTGCAATTGGCCCAGATTTAGTAAAGATAATGAGCACTCCAATGTGAAAAGAGAAATTATTACATGTAAAATGTGCCTTGTCCATTCAATACACAAGGGACCAGAAATTAATCTAAATTAAGGCTTTTCAGTTTTTTTTCATGCTTTCCAACCTGTTAATTACAAAAACAAAAAAATCCCAGGACTTTGATCTAGAGGGAAAGATTTATTGATAGAATATTGATTGTATTTGAGTTTTTTTTAATTCTTAGACTCTCACAGAACCCCATCAATTTCCCAGAGAACATGGTTTGAAAAATAGATAATTAGTATTAAAAGATCAGGTGAACTTGTAATAAGACACCTCTCGCCTACTTTTAATTACAAAGCCTATTATAACTATTGTGATTGATTTTAATTTACAGTTCTTGCAGTTATTTTCAGAGTTAATTTTTGAGAAGGAAAAGCAATATTCTAACAGGCTGGTATTATACTTACAATTATGATGAACATGCTGTGAAACAATATACATGGCAGAGACGTCCAAAGAAAGGTAAAATTCACAGTGTAGATCCATCAGTCTTTCCAAGAGGCCATTTAAATTTGCTTTCAGATATTTTTGTGATTGGCAGCTGGAACAATTGATTAAGAGAGGCAGATGAACATATTGGAAACTCTTATTGCTTTTGTGATTAAGAGCCAGTGAAATCCCCAAAACAATAAATGTGAGCTATGGATTAAAATCTGTCTGGCTAAAAGTGAAGGTCTTTGCATCAGATCTTTCCCCTGCCAAAGAGCTGCCTCTTTCCTAATTCAGAAGACAGTTTCTCATTAAAAATTTTGTTTCGTCCTCTAAAAAATGAAATAGAGATGACTGTCATTATTTGTATTGATTTATGACAGGATATTTTAAATCTTTTATTTCCCACAATATAAGCAAAATACATTTTCCCTTTGTTAGCTGCTTACTCTAGTGGGGAAAAATCCTTTAATTGTAAAATGAGTAGTATCACATACTTTAATTATGGATTTTTTAAAGATCTTGAGTTAATCAACCTATGAAGTTATTGTTTAAGCAGTTGATACCCTTATACTACACACATCTGGTCAGAAATAAGTCCTATTAACTGAGCTTATGTCAAAGTAAATAAGTAAAAGTAAGCAGTCTTAAGAGTTACCCAATGGGAATTAGCATCATCAAAATCACTAGGAAGTTCATATTTATAAATATGAATCTTTTAAATTATGTATAATTATGTACTGTAATTAGCTAAAGAGCTATTGATTCTGAGATTCTGTTTAAGTATTTTATTTTATTTTTATTTTTGGCCCAAATGGCTGCTTTCCTTTTCTAGTAAATAGGAGAAGGTATTGTGTTCCATTCTAAGTTTTCACTCTACATAAGAAAGCATGGTACCATTATTGGAAAAGCTGAAAATATGAAACCCAAAATATGAAAATGCAATTTAATATAAGCCTTAAATATATCCACCATTTTCAAAGTGGGCAGAAAATGGCTGCCATGGGGAACCAATTAGTTACAAAGCCAGTACTTTTCTCTGCTACCCTTTCAATCCTCTTTCCCAGAAAATGGCCCCACCCTTTTCATTTTCTAAGAAAACTTTGATACCCAGATGTATTTAAGGAAATGCAACTTCCCATTCAAAACAGCAGCCACAACATATGCAAATAATCAAATAGGACAAGGAATATGAAAAGACAGGTATCTGTGAGCACATTGGTATGTTTAGTTGCAGTGTTGTGAACCTGCTCACTCGAGTCAATAAATATATTCCAAAACATTAAAAAGTAATTTTAATTTATTCAATGATACCTAAAAATATGGCTTTGCACTCCTAAACTGCAGTGGTTGTCAGTTTGAACAGTACTGTTCAAATGATAGTTCCATTTGTTTTATAATTCCTCAAGACATGAAACAGAAACCTTATAGTACTTTT